GAGAACACAGGAGAGTTCTTCCGGAGCCAGGGCAGGCAGGTAAGGACGATGTGACTTCTCCTTGCTTCAATTGCCCTGGTGACATCCCGGTGGATCTCCCCAGGGCCCTTCTGCTGGCCTTGTGTCACCTGCAGAAGTCTCTGCTTCTATTACTCATCGTTTCAAGCATGTCCCGCCTCTCTTCCCCTTCCTCCAGGCTCATTGCACCGGCTTTGCTCTCCTGGAGTCCCACTGGAAGAACCTCTTGGCCCCATCCAGTGCTTCTTCCTTACAACCCGCTTCTGTTTCCATATACACTGTCCTCCTTGGCCTTTCTGGGCTCCCCTACACAATCCATTTGCTCTTTTCCTTTCCCAGATCTCTCTCCCACTAGCATTTTCTCTGAAAGACAAGGAAGCACACACTGAGGTGGGGACAGAGGAGTGACGTTAGTGCCCAGGGTTTCGATACTCCCTGGAATATCTCCACCCATGCTGAGAAGCCTTTGGCCGCCTCCAGTTGCTGAAGGGTTTTTCTGTGTTACTTTGTCCTCTCTTGCTGTAACTCCGAGGCAGCACCGTGCACTCACTCTGCTACTGCTCCCTTCAGTACGCTTCAGCAGATACTGGTGATGATGCCAAATAGAGCAGGACAGGGACAATCCAGCCCCTTGGTGCTGAGCATTGCTGCACCCAAAGAGCCGAGTGCCAGTTGTCTGCTGTTCTCCCAAAATTCACCTCTAGCACTGAACAAGTTAAGGGATTACGGGGAATAAAGTAACGGGAGGTTTTATTTACTGTCTCCTGAATACTAATGACTTAGTGAAGAGCCTCAAAGATGCGAATTGACATGAGGGGGGGGTGGGGAAATTCTGCCAAGCTGTGCTTTGGGCTCTAAAAGGTGTTTTTTCTGTCTCTGCTAACAAGCTGTCGCGATGCTTAGAAAGCCTCATGGGTTGTCTACGGTGAGTGGAAGTATTTGGATTTTATTGTGGTCAGTTTGGGTTTGGTTTGTGTTTTGCTGTTGCTTGGAAGACGAATCTCTCTGAAGCATTCATGTTTCCTGGGGGACAAAGGACTGTTTTGTGACCAGCTCATCAGACCAGTTGGCAAAGTGTCCGTGGTGCCATTTGAGGTGGCGTCAAAGCTCCATCCTGACTCCACTGCCAGACTCACGCTGAATGGATTTCAAACATTGCATGGTGGCTGTCGTGTGAACCTGGAATGAAACTCTCCCTTGGGTTTGAATTTAGTAGAGGTTCAATTATTTAATGAAAAAATCACTGAAATAGCTGTGTTTTTTTCCTTCCTTTCAGATCTATCTCTCCCAGACTCCTCTGTGTCCTAACCCTGTGTTTGACCTGATGCTGAAGTGCTGGAGCAGGGACATCAAAGATCGTCCCACCTTCGACATGATTCACCACTTCCTGCTAGAACAACTGGAATCAAACATTTGACTCCAGAAAAAGAGACAAACTGTTGAGAACAGAGTGACTGTGCTGTCTCTTGCCTGTACCTCACGGGAAGATGGTCAGGCCACTTGCTCTCCTCCCTTGACTGTTGTGTATTTAAGTTGGGATGTCCATGGCAGCTGCTCATTCTATTGGCCATGGTCTGACACACAGGACCAGAGGATCTCATTTGGTTGAAAAGAAAAATCATCTCCTCTTCTGAATCATTTCCTGGGAATACTGTGAGAGGGGTTTTATTTGATACCTGTACACCTTTCTTTGGGCGAAACAAATGAGTTAAACTTTACGAGGGACTTGGAGCTCTCTCCTGGGTGGAACAGAAGCTACCAGCGGGAGAGAGCGCTACCCGTCGAGAACGGATTTGTAGAAGTAGAGACTTCAGTCTTCTAAAACTATTCCATTAAATGAAATGGAAGTCTTGTGCACATTAGCAAGTGTTTCTATATGCTCTTGCTACAGACAATTTGTATAGTGAGCAACTAGAAGTGTCTAGAGCTAGGGGGTGGTTTAACAGAGTTGAGAACGGACGGAGCTGGATTAGCAACCCTTTGGACGTGATGCTCCCAGGGTCTGTGGAGGATGCTGACAGAAGAGTCCAAGATCATGTTCTTTTTTCCTGTGGTTGTTAAGCACTGCTTTTGTTGTATATGTGCGTTTTCCCCACACTGGATTTTTTTGTTTCGTTTTGTTTTCTAGAAAAAGAAAATTTTGAAAAATGAATGTTAAAGGTCACAGGAAGGTCACTACGGTAGAAGATCTCCTTTGACCTACAAATTAAGGCTAGGGTAGGGAGTTTGTATTGAAAAGTAGCTGATACTGTACTACTGTCACTATGTAGATTTATTAGCCTAACGAACTTGTAGCCACAATGGACTGATGTGCAATTAATCCTGTATAAGTACCCATTAATATGAGATCTCTAAGTCGATGCTGTTACACGTGCAGAGGGAACTTAGACGTGGTGAAACCGAATGGCCAAGAGCAGAACCCGCGGTGTCACTTGTCATAGCTCACGGAGGAGGAGGAGGAGCAGCAGAGTACGGGTCGTCCCCCCGCACACGCGTGCTCAGATCTGTGTCTGGTGTCGGCGGTTCCTCTTCAGGTCTGCAGAGGGTTAGTGCTGGCAGCCAGGCAGATGCACGCTGGCCCCTTTATTGCCACCATCCCATCTGGCATCGGGAGGTGGGACAGACACAGCCCCTTAGCCTGCATTTGGGATTTATTTTGGGTGCTTCCTGCACAGCACAAGACAATTCCCTCATTGAACTTGGGGTTGGGTTTTGTTTGTCGTGTGACAAACGGCTCATTCTCTGGAGGGTTTTGGAGGGCTCTGAAATCTATTTGGAGTGAGTTGGAGAATTCAGCTTGTTTCTACAATAAATCCATTGTGGATTAACCAGGTGCCTGGGGAATACTCTGCTGTTCCATCTCTCATCGTTTAGCAAGATACTTAGGACCAAACCAAATATTTCATAAGCTGGGAGAAGATGAAAGCTCAGCACTTGGCTTTGTTTAACCAGCATCCAGCACAGCGTATATTTCCAGTAACAATGATAAAGATAATTTTTGTCTTAGCCAGAAGCATAGTATGACCGGCTGTCTGTGCTACGAGCTCTGTAAGAGGGCTCTGCTGAGAGAGGGAATGTCAAAACACTTATAAGAGGATAATTGTTATGCTGAAAGAAAAAAACAGCTTCTGAATTGGCAGCTGCCAGGATGCAGTGTGGCGTGGCTGCGTCTGCTCCCTGGGCAGAACAAACTCTGTCATGAAGTTTCTCCATTGCAGCCCCCTTGATGGGACGAGGTGGTCCTGCCACAGACCCGGCGCGGGGTTCCCCTGGTGCGTGTGGGCATCTCCAGCCGAGCCACTCCCCTGAGCCCCCTTCACGGGGTGAGGAGCTGGAGGGTCCAAGTCATCCCGTCTCCCTGCAAGGGCTCCATGAGCTATGGGGAACCTCACCCCAAAATAGGTTTTTCTTTTTCTCCTTTGGCTAGAGGGACCGGGGTGAGCTGCTGTGCACAGTTCTGTCTGGAGCCGGGCGATGGGAGTCAGAGCCGGTGTGGTCCCTGCTGGCAAACCATGTGTCGATTGGATTTCAGGAGTATTTCTGTCCTGTCCCAGAAAATGTCCCCAGATATTCATCTGTGTGCGTGGTCTCCTGTACTTCAGAGTGTAGAGATACCAGAGCGCTGTACTGTCACCTGGGTGGGTTTGTACTTCTGTTACATCAGGACGTGCTGTTCCTCTGTTGACATGTTGACATACAAAGTTTCTCTCGTATCAATAAATTCTAATGATAACCTTGACAAAAGTGAATTTCTTCAAAAAATTTTTTTTTTTTTTTTTTTTTTTTTTTTTTTTTTACCCAGATGTCTGTCCTGAGGACCGATATTTTGGTGTGATTGTTCAGTAGCTCTTTGGTTAGTGTGTGACCCCCAGGTTTGGGAGGATTTAAAGGACTGAGATTTGAAGAGACCTTCTGGAGATACTGGGAGGATGGTGGCCTGAACCCCCCAGGGCTGGTGGGACCTGGGCCAGCCTGGGACCTTTGGTGCAGGGAACATGGTGCTGCATTCCGGAAAGCAAGTTTTTCTTCTTCATGTTAAATACAGAAGATCTGGGCTGGGGGGAGCCTTTGTAGGTCTTTTATCAAATTGTCCACTGAAAGCTGAGCTAACTTCAGAGCTCCACTGGGGTGCTCAGGGCCCTGATGGGTGCGGTGGGCTTGGGCTTGAGGATGTACTGGCCACAGTGGCTGCTCAGTAAAGAGGAGACCCCTGGCCTGGAGGGGGGTGAAACCCACCACACGCAGCGTTGGGAACGGGAACGATCTTTATCCCGTGTGAAGCCAGGCAGGACAGGATGATGTCCTCAAACAGCCAGAGTGGGAGAGGAGCGCCGAGACTCCCTCTGCAGTGTGATGGATCCCGAACCTCTGCCTTGGGGTGTCCTCACCAGAAAGGTGTGGATGTGGCTGTGTGTGTGCCACAGCGCTGGCCTGGCAGTCCCTGAGCTGTGACAGTGACCAGGGCACGTACATCCAGGCTCTCCTGGGTTGTGTGCGTTGGACACAGGTTGCCCAGAGAAGCTGTGGATGCCCCATCCCTGGAGGGGTTCAAGGCCAGGCTGGATGAGGCTTTGGGCAACCTGGGCTGGTGGGAGGTGTCCCTGCCCATGGCAGGGGGTGGCACTGGGTGGGCTTTAAGGTCCCTTCCCACCCAAACCCTTCTGGGATTCTATGACACAAGCTGCTGTGTGAACACATCTTTGTGCTGGGGCCGCGTACATGGAACATCTGGCGGTACCGTCCCAAGGGCTACGAGCCTTCAGGAAACCTGACAAGTGCTATAAAATCTCCCTGCTCATCCAAAATTTCCAGGTGGGGGAAAAAAGATGTGTCCAGAAAAACCTGACGGGCTGTGTGCTGCAGCTGGAAGCACTGTTGGGTACCAGCATTGCTCCTGGCAGCATCACAGAGGTTTCCCAGGCGACTGCTTCGTGCCACATCTCCGTCCTCCCACGCCCGCCGCCCAGAGCAGCCGCATTGCCATGGCAGCCCCGAGGAAGAGCAGCCTCTTCCCTCCCCAGCCCTACCATATCCCCGGGTAAGTTCTGAAGTTCATCCAAAACGTCTGTTTGTTTCCAATGCAAATCACTCCGGTTGGGATCACGTAGTATTTATGATTCATGATATTTTATTTTTAAAGACACTATTAAATATTCAGCGTAACAGTGCTCCGCAGCAGACAGGGCTCCAGGATAAGCTCCACCTTGGATCAGGGTGTAATTAAAGGCCATGCCTTGATGCACGGAGGCAAACATCACAATTATTCTCTTTCCCCACTTTTTTCCATTTGTTTTAAGCTGCCAAATGTTACCAGGGCTGCTGTGCAGGGTTTGGTGTCCACACTGTCATAATTTTTGCATCAAGGGATGTTTGAAGATCTCCTTTGAATAAATATTTTTATAGACACGATACGCTGCTGACAAATGGGCTGGAGCGCAGTCCTGCTGCCCCAGCTGAGCTCTTTGAAGACATCGATGTGGATGCTGGTGATCTAGGGGATGTGTAGATACTTTTTTTCCCCCAAAGCTATTTGTAACATCCTCCTCTAAAGGCTTGGAAAGAAGAAGCAAAGCTGTCATGGGTAGGAGGCAAGGAGTTACTGGTTGAAAGATACGACACGAATGGCAGGAATAAGCTTTGCAGTGAAGTGGAGACGTTGTGCGCGGGGTCCCGAGGTGACCTGTGCTGGGACGCGTGGCCCGTGGCAGCTGCAGATGGGCTGGGAAGGGCTGGAGGCCACCGAGGGAGCACGAGCTGCTGTTGGTACCACAAAAGGCACATGAGCCCAGCCTGGGACTCACGCCGAAGGGCGTCGGGATGACTCCCAGGGCAGGGGGCTGGTGACAGCTCCGGCTGCAAACCTCAGCGCAGGGAAACCAGCTGCATCCCACAGCCTGGGGACGGGCAGGAGGCAGGTCCCAAGCCCCAGATGGAGGCTGGGGCGTTTCCTCCTTTCACGATGCTCCTGCGGCGCCCATCACCTCAGTCCTTCCCCTGGCAGCAGCGTGCAGGGTTTTCCATCACTGATCTCCGTATCTTCCAAACTTACCCGAGCTCTGTGTTGGGGTTTTAACACCTTTTTGCATTGCTGTGGTTGTCTGACCGATGTGACGTGTTACCCTGTGTGTGCTGTCACCCTGTCGAAGCTGCGCCCTGGGAAGGACGAGTACCAGCAAGGAGGGAGCTGGGGCTGGGCTCACACCTCCAAAAGCCTCCAACCCTCCCCTTGCTTGCCTCTGCCCGCAGGCAACTCCCCCAGAAGCAGCTTCAAGCCCTAAAACCAATGCAGCAGCCAGGGCTGCTCTGCTCTGGGTGGTGCTTTGGCCACCGAAGGCAGGAGGAGGAGGAACCACGTTCTGCCGCTGCTGTTTGCAGCTCTGTGCGGGCTCAGAGCATCACCCCGAGCCCCAGGGGATCCCCCGAGGGTGGCCGAGGGGCTGCTTTGCATCTGCTTTGGGTGTCTGAGGGCAGGGAGGAGCTGCCTGAAACCATCGCCAGAGCCCGGGTGCTGCTGCCGGCAGGGGGAGGAGGAAGATGCCGCGTTGCAGCATCTCACCGGCTGTCCCCTGTGCTGTACCTGGATGTGCCCGTGAACCTGCCAACACCAGCAGGGCAGCAGAATAAGTTGCTGTCGCTCAGGTTGGGCAATGGTCATGGCCAGGGCTGTGAAAATGACACTGCAGTGCTCAGGAGCATGGGGAAGGCAAACCCAACGTGTGGGATGGTTTGGGAAGGACCAGGGAAGCTGTGGATGCCCCATCCCTGGAGGGGTTCAAGGCCAGGCTGGATGAGGCTTTGAGCAACCTGGGCTGGTGGGAGGTGTCCCTGCCCATGGCAGGGGGTGGGACTGGATGGGCTTTAAGGTCCCTTCCCACCCAAACCAGTCTGTGACTCTGTGATCTAGTGCACAGGGAATGAGAAAATCCATTAATCCCGAGTACCGGGCAGTGCCCTGCCTGCCCCATCCTGCCTTGGTGAGCTGGGAAGGGCCCGGAGCAGAGCCAGGACAGGCCCAGGGCTGTGGCTTTTCCCTGGTGACAGGGAAGGCTGGGCAGGTTCAGGTGACGCAGTCTGGGGAGTGGCGATGGGAGAGATCCAGTTGAGCAACAGAAAAGTGAAACGGGCTCAGCCCTGGGAAGGGGTCACTCCCTGCTCCCCAGTGAGGCTGGAGATCTGCAGCTGCAGGGGCTCAGTGCGAGCTACAGAAATGGGAGACCCTGCTTGTTTCTTCATCAAAATACCAACAGGAGAAGGACAAACAGTCTGGCTGATACTGGTCTCTTCCCAAGTGCTCTCAGCAGCAGCTCTCGTCATTCACTCTGCAGCCGATCCCTCTCCATAAACCCAGACGGACTCGCCCGAGCTCCTCGGATTACCTCCCTTTTAATTGCTCATGAATTGAATCCTTTCTCAGCCCTACCATTATGTTATTCATGATCAGACTCCCTCCGGCCATCCTGCAGTTATTCAGGCTGTGTCATTTGTGCTCTTGCTCAGCCTTATTGTCCCGGCGTCGCTTCCCCGTCCTGCGAGACGTACCCGAGATCAATGGGGACGAGCCACCGAGCTCCTCCGGCAGCAGCTGGCGAGAGATCCCGCATGCAAAGTGGGGAAACCTGCCAAGTGTAAATGCACAGCTCTGCTCGCTGCTGTTTAAAGTATTTGGAAGGGAAAGTACTTACTCATCGTCTTATGATCCTCATGCATCTTCCGGCTTTATCCCCAGCGAGGCAGTGGGATCATTGATGGAATATTTCTGTCTGTATGTTGCCAGTGGCAGCTCTACCTTTCCTTTTCAGTGGTGGAATCGCATCACTTACAGGAAATCTGATACTGGGAATTGTAGCTGTTTCTGGTCCGTACTGGTGGAGTTGGGAGCAGAGCCAGAACCCCGGCACCAGCCCAACCCTGAGCCACCAAAGTCAAACTGCCAGTCCCAGGACATGGGGAGCAGAGAAGCGACATGTCACTATGCACCCTTGCAAATGGCTCCCCCAAAGTTGGGTGATGTGTGTTCCTGGGGCTGATTGCAAAGCTTCAAACCGGGGCATGTTTAACTGGAAATATTTTAACCGGGGGGCTGTCAGTGTCAGTGCCGTCAAAGCGACGGCAGCCACGCTGCGTCCCCACTGTAGGATTTCCCATCCTCAGGCGCTGCTCCGGCTGTGCTCCCTGACCTCCTTCCATGTTCCTCCGTGAAGCGAAGCACAAGCCCGTGCCCGTACACGCCTGTAAATCTGTGAGATGGTTTTCATGCTGACACGTGAAAACATACATGTGCAAACACACACGCACACCCCCGCCTGGCTTCATGCGTAACCACCCGTGTCTTCTTCATGCTCCCCTTATACTGCTGCTCCAGTGGCACAAACTCCTCGATGCTCACAGGGACATACCTGTGCCATCACCTTCCCTGGGTTCATGTGCTCCTCGCCCGTGTGCTCCTGGCCGTGGCCTTTCCAGCGCACAAAAGCCCTGAAGCAGGTCACCCTACCCCTGGGCACCTTCCAACTCCACCTCGGTGAAGGCTCCTTTCTGGTTTCCTCCTCAGCTATGATGGCTTCATCCCTCAGTACAACTTCCAGTTTGGAGACACCTTTGGCAGGACCACGTACCGCCTGCTGACCGACCCGAGCGTGCAGAGGAGCCCTTGCCCCTTGCTGGCGCCGCTGCACAAACCCAAGTTTGTGGAAGACTTCAGCGGGATGAAGCACGGTGTCCAGGGTCATCTCCCCGGGCGTCCAGGTGAGCAGACCCCAGATCTCATCCCTTGGCCAGCATGGGCTCTGCTAATGAGCACGGGGTCAATCATGAGCAGAGGGGGCTGTGTCCATCCTCAATACACTTCTGGAGTGAAATGGGACATTTTCCGTGGAGCATCCGTAGCTCTGAAGTAGGAGCACGGGTGCTGCAGAGCTGGAGCCCTCGGCCTCAGGGGGGCTTCTCATGTTGGTGGCGGGTGGAGTGGAGAAAAGAACTTTAGTTCCCACGTTATCTTCAGTTAGATGAAGATAAATTATTTTATGGCATATTATGAACTCACTCCCCAATCGCTCCGTATTCCTGTTGTGG